GCACTCCCTTCTTGATTTTAAGCCATATAGTGTCCCCTTCTTCTGTTCGAACGACAGCCTCCTGGTCAAGGTTAAATTGGGGGAATGATGAGATTTAGATAGTGTTCTGGTTACCTAGTGCTGCTCTGACAATATACGGCAAATGGGATGGCTTGAACAACAGGAGTTTATTCTCTTACAGTTTGGAGGCTTTAAGTCTGAGTTCCAAGTGCCAGGCTCCAGGGGTGGGGTAAAAGCCCCTCAGCCTTGGGCATCAGCTCTGCCTCCAGCTCCCAGCCCACTGAAGCTAGAGGCATTTCTCCACTCAGTTGCTGGCTGCTGAGGGTGAGAAGCCCAAGGTTGAGAAATAAAATGCCACAGTCCCAATGTTACCAGACCACATGGCAGGCCATTAATTTAAGTCCATTGTAAGTCCCAAGGTCAGCAGAGCATGGCAGGCTGTTGAACAACGACATGGCTACCGCAGGGTCCAAGCGTCCATTAGTTAGAGACTATTCCCAAAGCTTCTCCTTATATACAGGAAGCAGACCACATCCCAAAGGCAGCTACTCAGCTGCTTGTGGTAGATCCCACCATGGAGCTGATTGCCAGTCTCATCATGGGGAATAACTACCACCACCTGCCCAGTCACTCAACCAGGCCCAGCCAAGTTGACCCACAAACATAACTACCACAGATAAAGATACAGATGATGGATAACTGGATGTTGTTGTTGTTAGGTGCTATTGAGTCTATTCTGACTCATAACAATCCTTGTACAACAGAATGAAACACCATCCAGTCCAACGTTGGTCACAATTTTTGCTATGCCTCAGCCCATCATTGCTGCCACTGCATTAATCCATCTTGTTGAGGGTCTTCCCAGTTTTTGCTGACTCTCCACTTCATCAAGCATGATATCTTTCCCCAGGGACCAGTCCCTTCTGACAACTTTGCTGTCAGGTTAAATCCAGGTTCTGCTTGGTGTGACTTGTAGCCAATAAACAAGAGGCCAAGTGGGGAAAAAAGGAAGGCACTTTGATTTCTTTGGCCAAAGAAGAGAATAGCTGGGGTTAGCATCTCCAAGACTTCTCCAAGGAAGGCTCCTTCAAGCTTCCCTTATATACAGTTTACAAAACAGGAAGTCATACAAAATCATGGATATACATACTTCTACATTCTAAGCAAGTGCAGATAGGGTTACATACTTTGCCATATATCACAAGTATAAAAAATGGAAGGGAAACTCCACCCAGAGCTGTAGAACTTAATATTCATGAGGTACTTAATGACCTAAAAGTCACCTAGTATATTAAGTATATTAAGATGGCTGCCAAACCAACTCAGGCTGGTTTTGGTTAGTCCAGGGAGGTTGGGGTAAATAGGATAAGAGGTTGGGGGATGGCATCCTGTTTATCTTGTAGGGCCAGTATGCTTTGTCTTAACATGACCAAAGTATGTGAGAAATCTGGCCATTCTCGCTTCTAAGGAACATTCTGGCTGTACTTCTGAGACAGATTTGTTCCTTCTTCTGACAGTCCATGGTATATTCAATACTCTTTACTAACACCATAATTCAAATGTGTTAATTCTTCCGTTTTCCTTATTCACTGTCCAGCTTTCACATACATATGAGGCTACTGAAAAGACCATGGCTTGGGTCAAATGTACTTAAGTCTTCAAAGTGGTATCTTTGCTCTTTAACACTTTAAAGAGGTCTTTTGCAGCAGAGTTGCCCACTGCAATATATTGTCTGGCTTCCTGACTACTACTTCAATGAGTGTTAATTGTGGATAAGTAAAACGAAATCCCTGACAACTTCAATTTTTCTTCATTTATGGTACTATTGCTTATTGGTCCAGTTGTGAGGATTTTTGTTTTCTTTATGTGAGGTGTAATCCACACCAAAATAAAATAAAAGATTGTAGTCTTTGATTTTCATCAGTAAGTGCTTCAAGTCCCTTTGCAAGCAAGGCTGTGTAATATGCATATTGAAGGTTGTTAATGAGTCTTCCTCCAGTCCTGATGCTGCATTCTTCTTCATATAGTCCAGCTTCTTGGATTATTTGCTTAGCATGAGATTGAATAAATATGCTATAAGGATACACCCTGACATACACCTTTCCTGATTTTAAACCATGCAGTATCTCATTGTTCTGTTTGAACAACTGTCTCTGGGTCTATGTACAGGTTCCTCATGAGCACAATTAAGTGTTCTGGAATTCCCATTGTTGCAATGTTATCCATAATTTGTTATGATCCACACAGCTGAGTGCCTTTACATAGTCAATAAAACACAGGAAAACATCTTTCTGCTATTCTTTGCTTTCAGCCAAGATCCATCTGAAATCAACAATGATATCCCTTGTTCCACACCCTTTTCTGAGTCCAGCTTGAATTTCTGGCAGTTCCCTGTCAATATACTGCTGTAACTGTTTTTGAATTATCTCCAGCAAAATTTTACTTGCATTGATATTACTGATATTGTTTCATAATTTCTGCATTCTATTGGATCACCTTTCTTTGGAATGGGCACAAATATGGAACTCCTCCAGTCAGTTTGCCAGATAGCTGTCTTCCAAATTTCTTGGCATTTGAATGAGTGAGCACCTTCAATGCTGCATCCATTTGTTGCAATATCTCAATGGACATTCCCTCAGTTCCTGGAGGTTTGTTTTTCACCAATGCCTTCAATGCAGCTCAGACTTCTTTCACTACCATCAGTTCTTGATACTATGCTACCTCCTGAAATGGCTGAACATCAATCAATTCCTTTTGATACAGTGACTCTGTGTATTCCTTCCATCTTCTTTCAATGTTTCCTGCATTGTTCAATACTTTGCCTATAGAATCCTTCAATATTGCAACTTGAGGCTTGAATGTTTTCTTCAATTCTTTCAGCTTGAGAAATGCTGAGTGTGTTCTTCTCTTTTGGTTTTCTAACTCAAGGTCTTTGCACACTGTATTACAATATTTTGTCTTCTTGAGCTGAAATCTTCTGTTCAGCTCTTTTACTTCATCATTTCTTCCATTTGCTTTAGCTACTCTCTGTTCAAGAGCAAGTGTCAGAGTCTCTTCTGACAACCATTTTGGTTTTTTCTTTTTTTTTTTCCTGTCTTTTTCAATGACTTTTTGCTTTCTTCATGTATGATGACCTTGATGTCATTCCAAACTCGTCCAGTCTTTGGTCAATGGTGTTAAGTGTGTCAAATCTATTCTTCAGATGGTCTATAAATTCAGGTGGGATATAATCAAGGTTGTATTTTGGCTCTTATGGACTTGTTTTTAATTTTCTTCAGCTTCAACTTTAAGTTGCATATATTAGCAACTTAATGGTCTGTTCCACAGTCCGCCCTTGGCCTTGTTCTGACTAATGATATTAAGCTTCTCCATCACCTCTTTCCACAGATGTAGTTGATTTGATTCCTGTGTATCCCATTTGGCAAGGTCCACATGTATAGGTCACTGTTTATGTGGTTGGAAAAAGATATCTGTGATGAAAAAGTCGTTGGCCTTACAAAATTCTATCATACAATCTCTGGTGTCATTTCTATCACTGAAGTCACATTTTCCAACTACCGATGACTCTTCTTTGTTTCCAACTTTTGGATTCCAATCACCAGTAATAATCAATACATCTTGATTGCATGTTTGGTCAATTTTAAACTGCAGGAGTTAGTGAAAGTCTTCAATATCTTCATTTTTGGCTTTAGTGGCTGGTCCATAACTTTAAGTAATAGTAGTATTAACTATTAAGCAAATTCTGATTCTGTCACTT